AGCCAGGCATGGTGGCACATGCCTGTAGTCCCAGCTACTCAGGAGACTGAGGCAGCAGAATTGCTTAAGCCCAGGAGTTTGAGGTTGCTATGAGCTAGGCTGACACCACGGCACTCACTCTAGCCTGGGAAACAAAACGGGACTCTGTCTCAAACAAAAAAACAATCTGAGGGTAGGAAGAAAAGCTCAAGAACAGGAGGGATCAGACACTGGGTGCTCTCTGCTGCCCCTGACACAATGAAGGTTCGTATACCTGTTTGTTGCAAGAATGAATGTTGCTAAATGTAGCCCTGCCAGACTCCTTACTGAATGTGATGCCTACTTAAATTCTGGTCTCTTTTTTTTTCCTCCTAGTGACAGGGTTTTACTCTGTCACCCAGGCTGAAGCGTAGTGGCACAATCATAGATAGCCACTACAGTCATAGTTCACCACAGCCTTGAACTTCTGGGCTCAAGCAATCCTCCTGCCTCAGCCTCCCAGGTCACTAGGATTACAGGCGTGAGCTACCACGCCAGGCTCTGGTCTAACTCTTAATGGCACCTAGACAGTGGAGAGCAGAGCCCCCTAACCCATTCTGGTCTTTCCTGACCAGCAGTTTAATGTCTTTTTAATTGAACCTCTACATCCACTACTACTAACACTAACATTTTTATAACATTTTATAGTGTAAGGCAAAAAGTACAGTGTTTCTATGTATAAGAGCCAAAGACTGGGAACAGTCCAAATGTGCTTAATAGGGGACTAGTTGAATAAAGTATGTGACAGCTACACAACTGAGTTCTGCATACCAGTAAAAGAAATGAGGAGGTTCTCTACATTATGCTATAGAGTGACTGCCAGGATTTAAGTTAAAATGTAGAACAGTATGCATTTACAAAAAATGTAGTTGCTCACAGTAAGGGGGAAAAGATGGAAGGTTAAAATGAAAATTTTAACCTGTAGAGGAAGGAAAGTAACAGGCTGGAGGAACAGAGATGAAAGTTTTTCTCTGAATATATCTGGTTTACATTTTCAACTTTAGAACTATGTAAATGTTTTACATCATTATAAAACAAAATCAAATCAAAAGGAAAAAAACCAATCCCTAAAAATTGAAAACAAATGGAATAAATACCTAACTGTACATCAAACTGGTGGCAAAACCACACAGAATTATTTCAAGCGATTTTAAAACACAATTATTTCCAGCCTGGGCAACATAGTGAGACCCCATCTCTATAAAAATAAAATAATTTTTTTCATTAGCCAGGCATGGTGGCACATGCTTGTTGTTCCAGCTACTTGGGAGGCTGAGGTGGAAGAACTGCATGAGCCCAAGAGTCCCACCCAGGCTGCAGTGAGCTATGACTGCACCACTGCACTCCAGCCTAGGTGACAGAGTGAGACCCCATTGCTAAAAAACAAATAAGTAAATAATAAATAAAAATTTAAGAAAAATTAAGCACAATAATTTGACCACATATTCATTGTGGGATATATCCTTAGAACAAACAGAACCATAAAGAAATGTGACAGTATTAGTATCAGTCATATTATTATTTTAAATATATATAAAAAAGAAAATACAAAAATTAAATCAAAGAAGTAAAAACCAGGCCGGGCACAATGGCTCACATCTGTAATCCTAGCACTCTGGGAGGCCAAGAATGGAGGATTGCTTGAGGCCAGGAGTTCAAGACCAGCCTGAGCAACAGCGAGTGAGACCCCATTTTTACAAAAAAACAGAAAAAATTAGCATTCACCTGGAGTTCCAGCTACTTGGGAGGCTAAGGCAGGAGAATCGCTTGAGCCTAGGAGTCTGAGGTTGCAGTGAACTGTGATAACACCACAGGAGTGACAGGGAGACAGAGCGAGATTCCGTCTCAAAAAAAAAGTCTTATAATCTTAAATTTGGACTACAAATATCAATATGAATTCATGATGCTTTTCTCTTCCTGGTTCTGTCCACTGAAAAAGTCTAGAAGTAATGACAACCCAGTAGCGATGATACCCCTAATACCCAATTTGTGGTTTTAATATATCCATACCATTTTCCACTAAAAGAAACCAGGGTTCCTTGGAGAAATGGCCAACTCCAGGCCATAAAAAACATATAAGCGATGAGCCTTCCCTTGCACACTTCTTAGGACAGAAAGTAAGGAAGCTATTACAGATGACTGGGTCAGCGGGGTGCGGTTTTTCACAACTATAATCCCAGCACTTTGTGAGGCCTAGGTGGGAGGATCACCTGAGGCCGAAGTTCCACACCAGCATGGGCAAGACCTCCATCTCTACAAAAATTTAAAAAAAAAAAAAAATCAGCCAGGTGTGATGGTGCATGCCTATGGTCCTAGCTCCTTGGGAGGCTGAAACAGAAGGATCACTTGAGCCTAAAAATTCAAGGTTATAGTGAGCTATGATGGTGCCACTGCACTCCAGCCTGGGAGACAGACTGACACCCTGTCTCTTAAAAAAATAAATAAAGATGACTGGGTCATGCCAAAAGGACACAGGTACCAACTTGATCAGGTTCCCATTAGCCAAAGATGGGACAATTTGAGCATTAAAAAATACTACCTGCAAAAGATTGAAATATAAATTTTAAATTCATACATTCATAATGAAAACAAAAAACACACCTCACTGGTCATCTCTGGAAGTTGCTGGGACCCCAACTAATTATTATTATTATTTTTGAGACACAGTCTTAGTCTGTTGCCTGGGCTAGAGTGCTGTGGTGTTAGCCTAGCTCACAGCAACCTCAAATACCTGGGTTCAAGCGATCCTTCTGCCTCAGCCTCCCAAGTAGCTGGGACTACAAGCATGTGCCACCATGCCCGGCTAATTTTTTCTATTTATATTTTCAGTTGTCCATCTAATTTCTTTCTATTTTTAGTAGAGATGGGGTCTCACTCTTGCTCAGGCTGGTTTTGAACTTCTGACCTTGAGTGATCTACCCGCCTCGGCCTCCCAGGACTACAGGCGTGAGCCACCATGCCTGGCCCCAAATAGTTCTTTATTTAAAAAAAAAAAAAAATGATGCTAATAAACATAGGAAGAATGATAAAATTAGAAAATAATCATTTTGCAAATTCAATGAAATAATGGACCTATGCAATAATCATACATGGCTGCAAAAAGCATTCGGTGAAAGGCTGATGGGCAGCTTCATAATGGATGAATCAGGCTTATAGTCCACCGATTGATGTTAATATCATTAAGAGAGAAAATTGGACAGCACATTCTTCCACATGATTCAATAGCAAGTGGACAGCACCCTCAATGAGGAATTTTTCAACAATCAAAAATTATACCTGGATCTAATCAATTCTCTGGATCTAATTACCAGTTTACAGCAAATACTGGGAAAGAGAAACATGGTAAATGACACCATGAGGATGTGGTGGGAAATGCCTACAGGACAAATGACCCAGTTTCCTCAAAAAAATCAATCACATAGGAAAAGGAAGGACCGGGAAAAATTGTTTTATATTGAAAGAGACCTAAAAGACACACCCACAAAATGTAATGCTGTATCTTTTTTGGAAACTGACTTGAAGAAACCAACTGTAAAAGTCCATTTTTGAGACAACTTGGGAAATTTCAACATTGGCTGGTAAGTAAATGATATTAAAGAATTATAGTTAATTTCATTGTAAGTAATAATGTGTTTAAATTTTTTTTAAAGACAGTATTTTTACTGTCTTGAGCACTTTTACATACATTTCCCTAATGCTGGATATACAGAGGATGTCCAATAAGTGCTGGTTATTAATGACAAGAGTAACACTCCCCTGCAAACTTTCAATCTCTCCCCCAAAATAAATGAATAAAACTCTTCACTTCATTTATTATTAAATGCCACTATCCTCCTCACAACCAGCCCCAACCATACTTCCCAAGGCTCCTCTTTAAGCCACTATACTTCCAGAGAAACTGGATTATTCACAGTATTTTGCGCAGGTCTCACACTTTTCTTCTACAGCACTTTGAAGGCCCTGGAATGCCCTTCTACTATCTTTATTTGTCCAAATCCTACCTACTCTCTTAAAGATCCATCCCAAAAGTTAGCTCCTACATAAAAGCCTTCTCTGAACCTTCTATCAGAAGTAATATTCCTGTGGTTCACCTGTGATATCTACAACATACTTATACTGCACATTTTTTAAGGTGCACTTCCACAACACATAATTATTAAGTACCTACTACTTGTCTGCACATCCAACAAATATTTATTGAACACCTCTTATATTTTGGACCTGCGTTAGGGGCCAAGCATACTACAATGAATAGACAAACACTGTCTAGACATCGTAGATGTTACAGTCTAGTAAATGAAGACCACAATCACACTAATTACATAAGAAATTACTCACAATTATGGGAAGTGTATCAAAAGAGAAGTCTAGGAACTATCAGAGGATATAACAGAGGTGTCAAACACAATTTGGCCCCACTACAAAAGGAACATAATTTAGGATTAATTACTTCTTAAATGAATTCACCATGAGCCTCAAATTTTTAACAATGCACCTCGCTTGGAATGTTTGGGCCTTAAATAAAATATGTAAAGCCATAACTTGACACAGAGTAGGTCCTCAAGCAATAAAAGTTAGTTTTTTTCACTAGGTGCTGTGCCCACTTGGAGAGAAAGAGATTAGGGTTTGGATCCTAATCCCCTAGTTTATGCCTGTCAAAAGATATTAACCTAATAACCATTTCAGAAATAAGTCAAACAGGAAAGGAAGGACCACGTAATAAAAACATTAAGCGTTTGCATCAGGAGTCTCCTAGAGATGTCAAGTACCATTACTCCCATTTTAAATGCGAAGTAACTGAGGCTTGGAGAAAGAATGAGATCCAAAAACATGGTAATAGAAAGTTTCCAGCTCCAGGGCATCAGCCTCGTACTTCGCCCCTCCATAACTCCACAACTGTAATTCTAGAAGAAGCCTCTGATCCACAGACCTCGAACGAAGCCTGGTACTCTTCCCAGAAGGCTTTGCAGCGTCGCAGAGAACTCTGGGATACAAATGGATAAACAAATCCAAGCCAAGGGCCGAGACCTGGGCCTGAGAAACTGCCTAGTAAGCCGCCCCAACGTCCTCTCCACCGGTGTGTCTTACCTTCCTGGAGCTTCCGCTGTCTGGGGCCTCACTAACCCCTGCAAAGGCCGGAAACAGCGCCATGACTACAGGCCGCACTGCCGTTCGCCCAGAAATGGCGCCACGAGCGAACGGCCGTCCAGCCTCCGCCGTCGCGTGCCTCTGGGAAGTTGGTTTCCTGGACTCGCCGGGCGGACCCCAGACCAAGAGGGGCAAGGGCGGGTCGGAAGGGCGGCCTCGTGGGGCGGACAGGCGGGCGGAGAGGGGCGGGGCGCTGCGGTAGGGACAGCTTCCCACTGGTAAACACCCCTGGAAGAGAACCGGAAATACAAAACCCGAGCCGGAAATCCCTTTCAAGCAGCAACGGGACTGGAAAATTCAGATTTCAGTTCGACCTCTAAACTCACACTGTCTCTTGCTTACTGGTCAAGTTAATCAACCTCTAAAACTGCCTCCATTTGAGAAAGTGGCGAATTAATGCAACATATTTATAACGTGTTTCACATTGTGTCTGGCCTGTGAAAAACGTCTACTATCGATGCTTGTTTAAACACGTGGAGTTGTGACTGCAAGTGCTCAAAAGACCATGCGAGATATACAAACTTCCCCCAATCCGGTGCCGTTAATACTCTGAAATAATGGCAAGGTTTATCAAGTTTCAAAGGTCTTTGCACTTAGAAACATTACATTTACCTTACTCATGAGGTATTTCTATTTTTTTTTTTGGAGCAGAGCTCGCTTTGTTCCCAGGCTAGAGTGAGTGCCCATGCGATCCACCTAGTCTCAGGAAACAGCAACCCCAACTCCCTGGCTCCAAAGCACATCCCTCTGCTGCAGCCTCCCCCCCAGTAGCTGGGACTGACAGCATTGCACCAACATGTCCTGCTAATTTTTTCTATAAATATATTGTACAATTAATTTCTTCTATTTATAGTACACCACCGGGTCTGCTCTTGCTCAGCTGTTTTGAAGCTCGCTGACCAAAGCCAATCCGCCCCCTTCGGCTCCCAGGAGTGTAGGATTACAGGCCGAGCCACCGCGCTTGGCCCATGAGGTATGTTCTAATAAAAATTAAAATCAGATATCTGCTCAAGCCTGCCTTACCAGAAATATCTGGGTAAAGGAACAAGTTAATGAAGACTCATACCACCTAAAAACAATCAGCCAAGATCTCGAATGTGGGAAATATAGAAGAACTAATAACTGGTCTTCACAAATCCAAGTGTTTGAAAGGGCAGGAGATGCAACGATGAAACGAGTTAAGACTTGTCAAATCAATATATAGCCTCAATGATCTGATGGACCAAATGTAAAAGACATTTAAGCAGATGATGAAATAAGAAGGTGGACAGAATATTTCATGACATCCAGAATTCTTGTGAGTCTGCTCAGATGTATCTAATGCACTGAGGTTCTAGTTTCCCTATATGTTAGAGATATCCATAACGAAGATGTGCCAACTACAAAATAATAAATGAAATATTTTTTGGACTGGGAGTATTAGAATAAACAAACACATAAAAAAAATAATCAATAGAAAAGACACAAAAGAAATACACAAGAATGGTAGCCAGTCACACCATAAAACATGGGACTTAAACAGGAGACAACCACATCTCATAACACACTACAGAAATAAGTCACTAAGAAATGTTAAAAATACAATAAAACATCTCAGTCCTGCCCAAACTCTGTCGAAAAATTCAACTAAAATCAATAATTGGGCAGCATTTCTCTAGCAGTATCATTCAGGTAACTGGAATGGAAAATAGTCTTCCCTCCAAAGTTCTCTATCTTTCCACCCAGAAAAAATTAAGAAAAAATTAGGACCGGGCATGGTAGGCACCGAATGCTTGTAGTCCCACTGCTACTCGGGAGGCTGAGGCAGAAGGATGCTTGAACCCAGGGTATTGAAGTTGCTGTGACTAGGCCTGACGCCATGGCCACGCTAGCCTGGCAAGAGACTGAGACTCCGTCCAAAAAGAAAATACAATAAAGCTGTGTAATCAAGTAACTGATGTAGACTCCGCGGTTTAGGCTGAAATCTAATGAAATTTAGGGCAGAGTTTTAGACATCCCTAAGAGAATCTACAGTTTACCATATTCGTAAGTGTAATTGATTAGCTTTATAAGAATTAATACTTGAAGAAGATCGATACATTGCTAGATAACTGAAGTACCTGAAAAGGAAATAAAATATATTACATTTGTAAATTTATATGAAATGTATAAATACTGCACAGAAGTCAGCAAACTTTTTCTCAAAGGGCCACATAGTAAATACTTTAGGCTTTATGGGCAAGAAGGTATCTGTCACAACTACTCAATTCTGCCATTATTTTTGGAAAGCAGTCATAGACAATAAATATATAAATGAATTGGCATGACTGTGTTCCAGTAATACTTTATTTACAGAAAAAGGTGGTGGGCCCACAGGCTATAGTTTCCCAATCCCAAAGAGTCATATATTTATATTTGACAGTGTTTCATTAACTATTTTTATAAATTGAAACAAACATTACTCAAGACCATTTAAAATTATTGCTACAATGTATTAGACTTATAAATAAAATAAAATTTGTAAGCTGAACTTGAACATTTAAGAACATTATTCTTATATTAAAACATTTATTCCTTTATACCTAATAACCAGTTTTCAGGAAATGAAGAGTACATATGAACAGATTAAACACCACCATGGGATACAATCTGCAAAACCCTGATTGTGGGAAGCTGTATAGAACAAACTACCTGGTTTCTTCAACAAATAATCTACAAGGAAAAAATAATAAGGCAAAAGAGCCAAAGAGAGATGCTATGGTTTGAATGTTTGTGTTCCCTCCAAAATTTATATATTGAAACTTAATCATAAGTATGATGGTATTAAGGGGGCCTACAAAAGGTGATTAAGTCATGAGGGCCTGGTGGACCCCTTATGAATGGGATTAGCAATGTATAAAATGGCTAGAGGGAACTAACATCCCTGCCTTTGTGCCCTTCCACTTTAGGCCATGTGAGGATTCAGCAGCAAGGTGCGGATTTTTTTTTTTTTTTCCCCTGTATTATCTGCGTAGCAGGCTTGAGCAGATTCTGATTCTTAATTTTTATCAAGAATACCTCATGGGCAAGCGGTTGGCTCACGCCTGTGAGCACTCTGGGAGGCCGGAGGGTGGCGGATTGCTTGAGGTCAGGAGTTCAAAACCAGCCTGAGCAAGAGCGAACCCCGTCTCTACTACAATAGAAAGAAATTAATTGGGCCAACGTAATATATATAGAAAAAAATTAGCCAGCATGGTGGTGCATGCTGTAGCTCAGCTACTGGGAGGCTGGCAGAAGGATGGCTTAGCCCAGCGAGTTTGAGGTTGCTGTGAGCTAGGCTGACGCATCGGGCACTCACTCTAGCCTGGGCAACAAAGGTGAGACCTGGTCTCAAAAAAAAAAAAAAAAGAATACGCTCATGAGGTAGGTAAATGTATTTTCTAAGGTGTCAAAGACCTTTGAACCTTGATAAAACTTGGCCATTTTTCAAGAGTTAATTTAAAAGGCGGCAACGCGATGTTAGAAGTTTGTAGTGTACTCTGCGCATGTCTATTGAGTCAAACTTGCAGTCACATTACTCATCGTAGTATTAAAACGTATATATGTCATTTTATAGATAGGATGCTTTTGCACAGTCTCTTAGACGACATAAATGTGGAGAACACAGTGAGTATAAAATATGATTCATAGAGGGTGGTCTCTGTTCTATACTTTTCAAATGCAGGCCGAACTTAGGAGCGTTGATTAACTTGACCAGTAAGCAAGCGAGACGTGTGAATTTAGGAGGTCGATAACTGAATAATCTGCAATTTTCCTCTCCTTAGTCCCTTTTCTTGCTCTCGAAAGATTCCGGCCTCCGGCCGGTTTTCTTGTTATTTTTCCTGGTTCTCTCAGGGTGCTAATGACTGGGAAGCTTGCTCCCCTACCGCAGCGCCCGCCCCTCTCCGGCCCGCCTTGTTCCGCCGGGGCCCCACGAAGCCGGCCCCCTCCCGCGACCCCGCCCTGGGCCCCTCCTGTCTGGATTCACGCCCCGGCGGGGGCTCCCAGAAAAACCACACCTTTTTTTTCCAGAGAGCACCGCGGACTGTCTGTGTGGCCTCCGGACAGTGCGCTCGCTCGCTGGCGCCATTTCTGTAGAGAGAATGACGGCCAGTGCGGCCTGCGTTAGTCATGGCGCTGTTCGCGGCCTTTTGCAGGGTTGTAGTGACTGGCCTCGACAGGCGGGAAGGCTCCTTAGAGAAGTAAGCGATTGCTGTTGTTGGTCAGGACAAGCGAGCGAAGAAGAGTTCTCTCATCTCTTT